ATGTAATGCCATGTATTGCCATGTATTACCATGTATAGCCATGTATAGCCATGTACACCCATGTAATGCCATGTATTGCCATGTATTACCATGTATACCCATGTATACCCATGTAATGCCATGTATTACCATGTATAGCTATGTATAGCCATGTAATGCCATGTGTAGCCATGTATAGCTATGTAGAGCCATGTAATGACATGTATTGCCATGTATTGCCATGTATTACCATGTATTTGCATGTATTACCATGTATAGCCAGGTATTGCCATGTATTGCTGTGTATAGCCATGTATTACAATGTATCGCCATGTATTAACATGTATTGCCATGTATTACCATGTGTTACCATGTATTACTATGTATTACCATGTATAGCCATGTATTACAATATAAATCCATGTATTGCCATGTATTGCTATGTGTACCCATGTATTACCATGTACTGCCATTTAGAGCGGTTTTCACTTGACTGTCGAATTGGGATTGGTTTTGGTTTTGGTTTTACTACGTCCTTTGGTTGGCTAGTGTATTTACTTTGGTTTTGGTTTTACGACAGTCAAGTGAAAACCGCTCTATAGCCATGTATTTCCATGTATTGCCATGTATTACTATGTATTACCATGTATAGCCATGTATTGCCATGTATTGCCAGGTATTACTATGTATTACCATGTATTGCCTTGTATCGCCATGTATTACCATGTGTTGCCTTGTATTTCCATTTATTACCATGTATTGCGTTGTATTGCCATGCATTTCCATGTATTGCCATGTATCTTCTTGTATTATCATGTATTGCCATGTATTACCATGTACTGCTATGTATAGCCATGCATTGCCATGGTATGCCATGTATAGCCGTGTATTGCTATGTATTACCATGTATTACTATGTATTGCCATGAATTGCCACGTATTACCATGTATAGCCATGTATTGCCATATATTGCCATGTATTCTTATGTGTTACGATGTATTGCCATGTATTACCACGTATAGCCATGTATTGCCATGTATCGCCACGTATTACCATGTATTACTTTGTATTGCCATGTTTTGCCATGTGTTACTATGTATTACCATGTATTACTATGTTTTGCCATGTATAGCCATGTATTGCCATGTAATGCCATGTATAGCCATGTGCTGTCATGTACAGCGATGTACTCCCATGTATTACATGTATTGACATGTACTGCGTGTATAGCCATGTATTGCTGTGTATTGCTATTTATTACCTTGTATTGCTATGTATTACCATGTGTAGCCATGTATTGACCATGTATGTCTTAAGTTGGATTAAAGTCAGTGAATTGAAAAGTCTTTTTTTTTTCTGTTACATAGTTCAGGGGTAGCCCAAGAAAAGGCTCTTTTTCCCAATGAAAATACAGTTTTTTGGGGGGGAGGGCAACGTTCTTTCAGGATTGTAAACGGATATTGGTTGACAAAGATATTCAAGTGCCGTTCGTCACTTTAGAAAATACCCTCGTTGAAAGTCAGTTAAGAACTTATTGGCCCCGAAGAGCAGGGATTTCGCCCATAAGGCGAAATTCCGAGGAAGCGCTCTATTAGCTCGCCCGTTTATTACGGAAAGTACTTACAGTTATTATTTATAGTCAGTATACCAGAAAAAAATATCGATTTCTTTTATAGATAGGGGCCGCAAGGGATAGGGGGTTAACGGTTTCTTTTGTTCGCGCCCGTAGTTAAGACAGAAAATCCCGAAGGGACCGCAAATTGGTAGATTTTTTGGTCATACTTCGTTTACCTTTTGCGTTACGCGTTATCAGTGACATTTTGTGGAGCAGCTGTTTTGAAAGTTACGCTCGTTAAGCGCAGTTGAAGTTATAAGTTTCGTATAACATCTGAGTCCCCAACAAGATGCATACATATGACCTCCCATACACAAGGCGAACGCTCCCTATCCACTTTGAACTACTGAGAACTCATGAAGATCGAGGCCATATACTATACATATATATATATATCTTTTTTTTAGCCGATGTTGGCGTTTCGAAAACATCAATTTTTCCACACGTTGCAGAACTATCAATTCCTGTACTGACTCGAAGTGACTAGCTGAAAACATAAATAAATGCGTGGAGAGGATGGCTGTGAGGGGAGGCTTAAATCCACCACCAGGACCAATGAATCAAATACACTATTGTCAAAGTCTGGACATTTCAAACATACCTCCCTAGATTCTATTAATAAATTGATTATTCAGTTGAAAAATGAGTCCCTTAGCCGTTCCCTCTTATACTGTTAAATTCAAATCGGCATTCGTACATGCGTAAAGAACAGTGAATATTTCAAGAAAACATCCATTCAGAACCTCTTTATTTGAAAAGATTTATAATAATTTTAAAGGCATAGAATTTATTTAAAAATTCAGGACAACTAAGCCGGCAAAAATTTCATCACTGACTCGCCCGTAAATTCACAGTATGCAAGATTGCAGAAATAAATTTGAAATCTGAAAATAGGATTTCCTATAGTCTCAAGTCAGCAAAATACCGTAAAATTCAGAAAAGAAGACCCAGAATTTATAAACCCATCCGATTTTTCATGGCATTACATGGTAATGCACGGCAATACATAATAATACATGGCAGTACATGGGCATACATGGCAATACATGGTAATAGATGGCGATACATGGCAGTGATTGCCTATACATGGTAATAAATGGAAAGACAAGGCAATACATGGTAAGACAGCTATATACATTGCAGTACATGGTAATACATAGTTATACATGGCAATACATGGCTATACATGGTAATACATGGCAATACATGGTAATACATAGTAAAACATGGCAATACATGGCAATAAATGGCATTAAATGGCTATGCATGGCATTATATGGCTATACATGGTAATACATGGCTATACAAGGCAATACATAGTAATACATGGAACCACATGGCTGTACATGGTAATACATTGCAATACATTGCTATACATAGTAATACATGGCAATACATGGTAATACATGATAAAACATGGCAATACATGGCTATACATAACAGTTCATGGTAATACATGGCTATACATGGCAATACGTGGCTATACATGGTAAAACATGGCGATACATGGAAATACATGCCTATACATGACAGTACATGGTAATACGTGGCTATAAATAGCAATACATGGCAATACATGGCGATACATGGCAGCACATGGTAATACGTGGCGATACATGACAATACATGGCTATACATGGCATTACACGGCAAAACATGGTAATACATGGCCAGACATGGTAATATATGGTAATACATGGCAATAAATTGCAGTACATGGCTTTACATGGTAATACATGGCAATACATGGCAATACATGGCTGTACATGGCAGTACATGGTAGTACATGGCTATAGATGGCAATACGTGGCTATACATGGTAATACATGACGATACATGGTAATACATGGCAATACATGGTGATACACAATAATACATGGTAATACATGGTGATACATAATAATACATGGCAATACATGGTAATACATAGTAATACATGGTAAAACATTGTAATACACCGTAATACATGGCTATACATGGCTATACGTAGCATTACGTGGTTATACATGGCAATACTTGGTAATACTTGGCAATACATGGTGATATATGGTAATACATGGCAATAAATGGTAATATATAGTAATACATGGTGAGACACGGTAATACATTGCAATACATTGCAATAAATAGCAATACATGATAATACATGGCGATACATGGAAATACATGGCAGCACATGGTAATACATTGCGATACATGGCAATACATCGCAGTACCTGGTAATACATGGCAATACATGGTAATACATGGCAGCACATGGTAATACATGGCAATACATAGCAGCACATGGTAATACATTGCGATACATGGCAATACATGGCAATACATTGTAATACATGGCAATACATGGTAATACATGGCTATACATGGTAATACATGGCAATACATGGTTATACATGGGTATACATGGCTATACATGGCTATACATGGTAAGACATGGTGATACATGGTAATACATAGCAATACATGGTAATACATAGCAATACATGGCTATACATGAGTATACATGGTAATACATTGGTATGCATGGTAATACATGGCAATACACGGCTATACATGGTAATACATGGTAATACATGGCATTACATGGGTATACATGGCTATACATGGCTATACATGGTGATACATGGTAATACATAGCAATACATGGTAATTAATACATGGCAATACATGGTTATACATGAGTATACATGGTAATACATGAGTATACATGGCTATACATGGCTATACATGGTAATACATGGCGATTCATGGTAATACATAGTAATGCATAGTAATACATGGCTATACATGGCATTACATGGGTAAAAATGGGTATACATAGTAATACATGGCAATATATGGCATTACATGGCTATACATGTTTATGCATGGCTATACATGGCTATACATGGTAATACATGGCAATACATGGCATTACAGGGGTATACATGGCTCTACATGGCTCTACATGGTAATACATAGTGATACATGGTAATATATAGCAATACATGGTATTACATGGGTATACATGGCTATACATGGCTATACATGGTAATACATGGCAATACATGGTAATACATGGTAATACATGATAATACATGGCTATACATGGTAATACATGGCAATACATGGCTATACATGGTAATACATAGCAATACATGGCATTACATGGCTATACATGGCTATACATGGCTATACATGGTAATACATGGCAATATATATATGGCTATACATAGGTATACATGGTAATACATGGCTGCACATGGTAATACATGGCAATGCATGGCTATACATGGTAATACATAGTAATACCTGGCATTACATGAGTATACATGGCTATACATGGCTATACATGGTAATACATGGCGATACATGGTTATACATAGTAATACATAGTAATACATGGCTGTACATTGCTATACATGGCATAACATGGTAATACATGGCATTACATGGTAATACATGGCTTTACATGGATATATATGGCTATATATGGCTATACATGGCATGACATGGTAATATATGGCTATACATGGCTATACATTGCATTACATGGCTATACACGGTGATACATGGTAATACATGGCTATACATGGCTATACATGGCTATACATGGCTATACGTGACATTACATGGGTATACTTTCCAATACATTATTTTAAATGCATTCTTGATACACTTTAATAACCCTACTTAAAGTACCTACCGAGGAAGGGGGTAGATAATTCATATATGATTCCTATAGTGTACCGATATATAGATTCTTATAGTGCAGTCTTTCTTCTTTATAGTGCAGTCTTTCTTCTAGGTACTTGGCTTACTTAGGTACTTGGCTTGCTTCAGTGTCTTGGCCTACTTAAGTGTCTTGGATTACTTGAGTGTCTTGGCCTACTTCAGTAACTTGGGGTGCTTGAGTGTCTTGGCTTACTTTTGTACTTCTGGGTTATTCAGTCCGGATATTTACAAAAACAAAGTTAAAAAATTGGGGGAATGTTTTGCGTGGCTTTCCCATGGAAGAATGCCCCAACGCATACCATCGCTGAAGTTCAAGAGCTTTACCAACAGCTGTTACCTACCAAGGTTTACTACAACAGAAAAACAAAATCACAAGTCACTGATGAAAAATGCCGCCTATGCGGGGATTCCCTGGGGAATGTGCAGCACATTCTATCTGGCTGTAGTGCACTGGCACAGACTAAGTACCTACAGAGGCATAACAATGCTTTCAAGATCTTATCAAGCACGCCAAGTTACTGAAGTAACTGAAGTAGGGCAAGACACAAAAGGAAGCCAAGACACACAAGTAGGCCAAGACACTCACGTAATCCAAGACACTCAAGTAGGCCAAGACACTGAAGCAAGCCAAGTACCTAAGTAAGCCAAGTACCTTGGTACACTAGAAGAAAGACTGCACTATAAAGAAGAAAGACTGCACTATAAGAATCCATATATTGGGACACTATAGGAATCAAATATGAATTATCTATCCCTTCCTCGGGCTCTACCGCTGACCAAAGAGCCCGAGGACTCTGGGTTTTCGATTTTGGATTGAGAGTGAAGTTTTCGAATTTGGAGTGGAGAATTCCAATTTGGAGTGATGTTTTCAAGTTCGGACACAGGTAGCCCAAGCTCACTATGAGAGCCCTGAACAATATTAAACTACTTAGCTAATTAATTATTCATACAGCAAGAAAATTATAAGACGTTGTATGGAGAAATATTCTTGGAAAATGTGCGTTATTTATCAGGACATCTGTTTCTGGCGGAATTGTCTCCATGTCGCAGATGTCACGGAATTTATCGCCGCCGAGAACGGAGCCGGTCAAGAGAGGTTTGCCAACCTTCTCTTCTCTTCTCTCTACTGTCATCTGGGTGAAAAAACTGTCGCTCCAAAAAAGGCCTTAAACAGTGTCTAGGAGGTCTGAAATGCAGTCAGAATACATAGAAAAACAAGAAGACGCTAAAGGTAAGCTTCAAAGCGATATTCAATGTACATTTTGCTAATTTAGGGAGCAAAGAATATTTCTCCATACAACGTCTTATAATTTTCTTGCTGTATGAATAATTAATTAGCTAAGTAGTTTAATATTGTTCAGGGCTCTCAAAGTGAGCTTGGGCTACCTGTGGTTCGGAGTGGAGTTTTGGAATTCGGAGTGGCGTTTTCAAATTGGGAGTGGAGTTTTCGAATTCGGAGTGAGGTTTTCGAATTCGGAGTGAAGTTTTCGAATTTGGAGTGAGGTTTTGGAATTTGGAGTGAGCTTTTAGAATTAAGAGTGAACTTTTAGAATCAGGAGTGAGCTTTTAGAATTACGAGTGAACTTTTACAATTAAGAGTGGACTTTAAGAATCAGGAGTGAGCTTTTAGAATTAAGAGTGGACTTTAAGAATCAGGAGTGAGCTTTTAGAATTAAGAGTGAACTTTTAGAATCTGGGGTGTGTTTAAAGATAAGGAGTGTCATTTGGAATTCGGAGTGCACTTGTGGGCCACCGTAGATGTTTGATTCCGTATTCCGTTTCCTTCATTCCATTTCTCCATTCTCATGCGATTCGGTAGAGAGACCCTGGGAACGAGGAATGAACTGGAAGTCAGCCAAGAAATGTAATCAGTGCATTCCGTGAAAGAAGCTGACGAACAATCGCCATATTGAGAGGAAATTCATCAAACGCTTCCTTCCTCAGATCAGCAGCCTTAGGTAAGAGATGTATATTACATGTAGAGTACTTCATAGAAAGTGCGTGATTATGGCATTTAATACGATCGATTTGTTGAGGTATGAGAAAGCTCACTTCCTGCGCTCACTCGTGTCAGCTCTTGTTAAAACTCGTTCCATTGTTATTAACTTTAGAATACCCGGCCACTTACTTGAAACTCTTTGTATGACAAGTATGCTCTTTGTTATTCCTCGTCCAGGTTTATAGCGCAAATGAAGTGGCCGAATATTCGTTAGGGTGCATTCATTCGATTGACCTTATCTGGAATAGGAATACATAGAATAACCGTTCAAATGACCTGTTATTTCAATTGCGGAAGAAGTGGAAGTGTATCAGAGACCTTAAGATCTACCACGTCCTTGTATGGGTATGGATAGATTACCTGGCCTGTTACTAGCAATAAATACGGGCAGACCACACTACCCAGGAGAAAGAGCTAAGCTACAGGGTGTAATAATGATCTCATTGCCCCAGGGGGTACCCCAGATTTAATGTCCGTAGAATGTAAGAGCAAAAATCTATTGTCCTCCCTACAACAACTGAAAGAATCCCTGGACCAAAAATTAAATCTCAAAATTCCCCTGCTGAATTGCTGAATTCTCAAGAATTCACTGCGGCAAAAGGGAATTCCTGAGATAATAAAGTTGGGCAATAAAAACAATAATCAAGACATCAATGCATTGCTTAAGATACACAGCCCCAAGGCACCAATTACCCTAAATTATGCTCAAATTAACCCCCCTCTCCACCCTCTGCCCCGCAAATAGGCACCCGATTCAAATTAGTACCACTCTTTTAGGCTTCAAATGTTAAAAGACACTATCATGATTATGTGCATGCACAAACATCATGTCTTTTTCGTTGAAACAACAACAGAACTGTCACACTCAGATGCACTAAGATTTTCTTGCAACTTCATCTCTGACAGAGTTCCTTTGCTTACATATCTCTAGTAATATTTTACACTTTTGACAAAGTCTTTTGTTTTATTTAATAACTGGCTCATGGCACAAAAAGATTTATTGTGTTTTTTTCACTCGCTCAGCTGCATTCCAACATTGAAAGCTTGTTCTGCTTGCCTTACCACTTTCCCCCTGTAAAACTAAGTCAGAGCTCAACTTATGGCAAGCTCAAAGTAAATCCAGTAATATTTGCTTGTGTTCTAGCCTCAAATGCTCAAAGGGTATAAATAAAAATGCAATCTTTACAGGATGAAGGCATCGCAAAGATTAGTCAAACATAATAGTTTATTATGATTTCATTGCACTTGTTTTTTTATACATCAAGGGCCAGCTGTTTGTTTAATTTAGTTGATCATATTTGTTAAGGAGGTTTTTTAATTTTACTAACATGTCGTTGCAAGATCTTTTCAGTGGCATCCATGTCTCGTCTGTTTCTTTCTTACTATCTAAATGAAAGCAACGCTAAAAACTCCCAATTTCACTAAAATCAAAAGTTAATGGGAACATTGATCTGTAGTTTTGAGAAGTTTTAGGGGTGTAACTCAATCGAGCATGCATGATGCAAAGATTTTGGAAGGTTCTATAACACTATGCGGATTTTTTGAATTCTCAACATCCTGTCAGAAAATCTAAGTTTGGTACATGTGCAGTAATGGGATAGTGTTCATTTAAGCTTCCGGCCCTCCCCTTCATATAAGCGACCACCTTTAACACCCTGCCTTACTAAATACATGGTATACTGGACTTTTATCTTTCAAAAGGGTAGCATCATCCTCGGAGACCCAGGGCAGATAGTGGGGGCGAGAGAAAGTCTAAACGGGCGGGAAAATAGGGCACAAAGAAAAGTAAAGAACGGCAAGAAGAGCCCCTGGGGACAATGTCTTACCAGACCAGTTCCAAACTCTCGCAGTCATTCTGGCTTCTGGTTGGTGCCAAGAAACTTTTGTGTTCTTCTGCCCAATCAGAAGACAGAACGGCGTTTCGTGCCATATTTTCCTGCCCGTTTAGAATTTCCCTCGCCCCCACTATCTGCCCCTGGGTCTCCGAGGATGGGGTAACATAAAAGTTACAGTCACAAGAGAATAACTTATTTGGGGACATCACACGATCAGATGTTAATGACTCAGTTCCTCTGAATATAGTGCTTGAGGATAGTTTTATGGAAAGTCCCAAGCTAAGGACATGATCATAACACACTTGGGTAATTTATTGAAAAAATATGTTGTAGTTTCATTGCTTAGCTTTTTTTGTCTGTGTGAAATGAAGACAAAATGCTGTCTTGAGGCTGAAATACTAAAAAATGAAATAAGCGACCCATTCAAATAAGTGTTTTCCCCTCAAATAAGGGTAAATCCGACAAATAGGCATCCCCATTGCCTGCCACTGAAAATCAATTAACCGCCTCCTCCTGGGATTATTTCTAGATCTGCAGAAATCAAATCATTTGTCACCTAAGATGTAATATAATTATTATACTACATGTACCTGATCCCAAACATGTTCACCTACCCATAATACACGTCCCATATGTAGCCACAATTTGGGAATCAGTTAGCCTATTCCAGTTGTTCAGACAGTGGGGAGCGGTGCAAGTTAAAAAAAGTGAGCGAAAAAAAAAAAGTGAGGGAGGGGGAGAGGTGAGAGAGGAAACCTCTCTCCCCAGTCACCCTCTACATTTAATCGCTTTCTTTACTTCGCACTGCTCTCCACTATCTGGACGCTTGGAACAGGCTAGGAAACAGTGTTTCTTAAGGCCTTTATTCCA